TGTACCTAGTGTCCCTTAGAGCTACTGGACAACTGTTCAAGACATGCCTCAGGGTTTGGTGCCCTTGACATAGGGGACAGTTTGAAGACAGCACTTTTCCCCATCGTACCAAATTGTCTCGTGTAGGCAGCCAGTTGACCATACCACTTAGGGCAAACTCAAAGACGCCTCGAGGACTGTTACACAGAGAACTTCTCCATTTTGTGTCAGATTGCTCCAATTCAATTAGTTCTACCCAATTTCCCTGCACTGACAGAGATCTACAGTGCTCTTCTATCTTGTTGTCTTCTGTCTGACGGATGTGGGCTTTCACCCTTCGGCAGAGCTTGTCCTTGGTATGATGGGGGGTTGCTTGGTTGTCATTACTGTTGGGACTTGACAGTGATGTAAGTGTGTCTTTCACAAGAGTGTGGCACTCCAAGTTGCCTGTTCTCTTGCGGGTGAAAGTTCCCTCCCTTTCTACTTTTGCTTGCAGAGCATTCTGGACACTTGCATCACCTATTGTCACAGCTGATGCAATGACTGTAGCATGTTGCTGTAGATAGATCTGTTCTACTGAGATAAGGCCTAGACCCTGGCTATGGTACAGGATTCCGGAGTTAGCAGATCTCTTCATGCCAGCCCATTTCTTCAGGTACTGGGTGACGCTGCTACTCAGTTTCTGTAAGTGAGAGCGTGTGGTGTCATGGACTGACAGTAGGTACTTGATGGCACCTTGTACATAGACTCTGTATATCTCGCATTTGTACTCTCCTCTAATGGGTGATTCGTCGATGTTCATTATAATTCCATTCTTTTCCTTTGAGCCTATGATTGATTCCCTCAGGATGTCAGCGACCTGACCTGCTGAGCCTCTAGCTGTGACGTATCCACCAAGGAATTTGAAAGGAGTTTTGATAATATTGTCCATGGGGTGACTTCCGATACAGAAAGCGACGTCCTTTGCTGAACCGCCACATATACTGAGGGTTTTGCATTTCTTGGGTTTCAGGTACAAGTGGATGCTCCGTAGATTTCTGTCCAATGTGTTCAAGATTCGTTGCAGTGATCTTGACCTGGATATCGTCAATGCTAGGTCGTCGGCAAACGCAAAGGTCACATGTGTCTTGTCCTTTAGCGTGTAGCCATGTGCTGCTTCTGAGCGTAGGTATTCCAATGGCAGGTTGATAACAGGTAGAAAGATTGCAACAGACAGTGTATCCCCCTGGAATGTACCTACATTGAGCTGAAATGGGTCAGAGGAAAACTCTGGGCACCGCACCTGGGCAGTTAGATTGTTGTAGAATGCTTTCACGTAGTATCAAATTAGCATAAATTATGCATATTTAATGATAAAATTTACATAAAATTATATGGGGTGTTATTAATATTAGAAACCATGAGTAACTTGACATAAAAACCCATAAAATCCTATTGTTGAAACAAAAAAGTACTAAATTTAGCAAAAAATGCCTGTCAGAAACCCGTTGCCATGGCAACACAAAAAATTATTATCTTAATCCAATGATGGAGAATTGTTGCCAACAATATTCTAGGAAAAGTCACCAAGTTTGGCCGTTCTACAGCTAGCCGTTCAGACGCTAGGTGACATCAAAGTTGCCGCGGGCACTTTTAGCCCCCCCCCCCGGTCTAGGTAGGGTTAAATGAGAAAAAAATCACATCACATCAATAACATAAAAAGACATAGCACAAAAACTGCCATGTAAACGACTTGCAATGTACGGTTCGCAATAGCCTCCTTTTCAGGCGTTCCACCCAAGAGGTGGAAAGACCAGATCCAGAGTGACAGAGGGATTACTCAGCAGAGACTATTGCCCTTGACAGAACTAGCTGGAGATACCTGACGGAGGGGAGCAAGGGGCCAGCTGGCCCGTGCACGTAT